AACTGAACTAGAACTGAACTAGAACTGAACTAGAACTGAACTAGAACTGAACTAGAACTGAACTAAAACTGAACTAGAACTGAACTAGAACTGAACTAAAACTAAACTAGAACTGAACTAGAACTAGACTAGAACTGAACTAGAACTTAAGTAGAACTGAACTATTTTTTGAATTTTCATAAACAAATTAGCAACATTTTGAATTTTTCTGTAAAAATTTCTTCTATATATTTGAATTTATTCCGGAAAGTTTTGAATATTTAACTTTTCTGTAAAATTTTTTCAATAATTTGAATTTTTTATACAATTTTTAAAGTTTTTATAAAAATGTGTTCAATATTTTTAAATTTTAGTGAATTTTCTCCCGAAAACTCTCAATGTTCTAAATATTTATAGACAATTTGTCAATATTTTACATTTTTATAGACAATTTTTTCAATATTTTTAAGTTTTTCCAAAAAACGTACTAGATTTTTTTATTTTTTCTATAAAATTGTGTCAATGTTTAAAATTTTGTAAAAAAAATGTTCAATATTTTTAATATTCTAAAACAAATTTGAAGTTACTCCAAAAATTTTCCAATATTGTGATATTTTTCAAAAAAAAAAAAAAAAAAAAACGTCCAATATTTTTAAAATTTTATATAAAAAACTTTCAAGGTTTTTAGTTTTTTAAAGGAAATTTTAAATATTTTTAAATTTTCAATATTTTGTACATTTTGTACAAAATCTTAAATTTTCTATAAAAAATTTTCAATATATTTTAGTTTTTTTTTTTTTAATTTCAATATTTTAAATATTTATATATTTTATTTTTAAAGGAAATACTTTGAACATGTTAAATAAATTTTCAATATTTAAAATTTTTAGTCAATAGGCAAAACGCATGCGAAAAGTACTTCAGTACTTTTAAACTAAAAATATATTTAATTTTAGTTTTCCATCCCTGTTTTAAATTTTTTATGTCATTGACTGATACTATTTTGTGTGTCATTGCATTTTAAAAGTGAAATCAGTTTTTTTTTGCAAAATTGATTTTTATCTTAAATATAAAAAATGCGCATTTTGGTTATAATTAAAATATAATCTGTCAAATTCGACTTTATAACACTTTACATTAACACAAAATATTTGTTGGGAAATAGGCTGACCAATCAGCTAGTCTAAAAACTAGTAAATTGACTATAGAAAAATACATATACGAAAACTGTAATACTGATCAATCCACTTAATAATAGCTATTACCCATAATCCTGTGTATCCATTAAGAATACGGACCATAAAAATAACCTCAAACTTGTACATTCTGTGGCTTCTCAGAAACAGAGTTTAATATATACGGGAATTCATACATTTTATAGAGAAGATTCAGTCTTCGACGGGTTCACATTCGACCTTTAGATTTCGTGTCATTTGAAATTATCATAAGGAACTATTTAGGCAATATTTCATATTCGGCCCTCTTTGCATCGTACGGTTTTAAATTCAGGAAAACTTCCTTGAGTTCACATCACTTTTGTTGCCCATTATTCCCGAGTGTCCAGGTATCCATATGACACAAACTTTCCTCTGGAAGTGTATTCGAATATGGTTCTCTTACAGTCAAATATGTTCTTAGTTTAAAGCTTATCATTTAGCATCTCCCTAATTTTTGTATATTAACTTTTCAACCTCTATTCCCTTTATATCCTGTACAATCGCTCTTTCATTGCCGTTTATCTTAGAGTTATATCTTCCTTACAGTCGAATACAGCCTTCAGCTTAATTACCTTCTGTCAGAAAATATGTTTCACCTCTGTTGGAACCATATTGAATCCAAACTATTTTACAGATTTCATGGTTACACCCCCGGAGACATGTTACCTTGGTGAAATCTCCATCTTGGTGTCATGGCAATTCCGGGGCAAAACCTCTAGTCTGCCGGAACTATGAATTGGTGATGATCAAATGTATCCTCGGCCTTTTCTTGGAATGATTTTACATATGGTCGACCCAGAGCGGCAGAATTATCGCAGGACTTTATCCTATCTGGTCAATTGTTTGAGATTCCTTTGGGATCCACGTGGCTGTGGTTTAATATCAAAAACCGTGGGGAAAGAATGTTGGTTTAAGGACTGATATATCCAAATGCCATATATATGTATGAATCCAAACCATTTCACAGATTTCATGATTACACCCCTGGGGACATGTTACCTTGGTGAAATCTCCATTTTTGGTTTATTGCAATTCCCGGGCAAAAAAGGTGCTACCGTTACCTCTAGTATGCCAGGACTATGAGTTGGAGATGATCAAATGTATCCTCGGCCTTTTCTTGGAATGATTTTAAATAAGGTCTACCCAGAGCGGTAGAATAATCTCTGGACTTTGTCCTATCTGGTCAGTTGGTTGAGATTCCTTTGGGATCCGCGTAGTGTCTGTTAATATCCAAAACGGTCTATAGTCTAGTCTATAGTCTAGTCTATAGTCTAGTCTATAGTCTAGTCTATAGTCTAGTCTATAGTCTAGTCTATAGTCTAGTCTATAGTCTAGTCTATAGTCTAGTCTATAGTCTAGTCTATAGTCTAGTCTATAGTCTAGTCTATAGTCTAGTCTATAGTCTAGTCTATAGTCTAGTCTATAGTCTAGTCTATAGTCTCTAGTCTAGTCTATAGTCTAGTCTATAGTCTAGTCTATAGTCTAGTCTATAGTCTAGTCTATAGTCTAGTCTATAGTCTAGTCTATAGTCTAGTCTATAGTCTAGTCTATAGTCTAGTCTAGTCTATAGTCTAGTCTATAGTCTAGTCTATAGTCTAGTCTATAGTCTAGTCTATAGTCTAGTCTATAGTCTAGTCTATAGTCTAGTCTATAGTCTAGTCTATAGTCTAGTCTATAGTCTAGTCTATAGTCTAGTCTATAGTCTAGTCTATAGTCTAGTCTATAGTCTAGTCTATAGTATAGTCTATAGTCTAGTCTATAGTCTAGTCTATAGTCTAGTCTATAGTCTAGTCTATAGTCTAGTCTATAGTCTATAGTCTAGTCTAGTCTATAGTCTAGTCTATAGTCTAGTCTATAGTCTAGTCTATAGTCTAGTCTATAGTCTAGTCTATAGTCTAGTCTATAGTCTAGTCTATAGTCTAGTCTATAGTCTAGTCTATAGTCTAGTCTATAGTCTAGTCTATAGTTTAGTCTATAGTCTAGTCTATAGTCTAGTCTATAGTCTAGTCTATAGTCTAGTCTATAGTCTAGTCTATAGTCTAGTCTATAGTCTAGTCTATAGTCTAGTCTATAGTCTAGTCTATAGTATAGTCTATAGTCTAGTCTATAGTCTAGTCTATAGTCTAGTCTATAGTCTAGTCTATAGTCTAGTCTATAGTCTAGTCTATAGTCTAGTCTATAGTCTAGTCTATAGTCTAGTCTATAGTCTAGTCTATAGTCTAGTCTATAGTCTAGTCTATTGTCTAGTCTATAGTTTAGTCTATAGTCTAGTCTATAGTCTAGTCTATAGTCTAGTCTATAGTCTAGTCTATAGTCTAGTCTATAGTCTAGTCTATAGTCTAGTCTATAGTCTAGTCTAGTCTAGTCTATATTCTAGTCTATAGTCTAGTCTATATTCTAGTCTATATTCTAGTCTATAGTCTAGTCTATAGTCTAGTCTATAGTCTAGTCTGTTGCCATCAGTGATGTTACAGAGCTACTTATGCTGGAGTCCTGCACCCATTGAGTATAACTTACTCTTCGCGTAGTAGGTCGCCAGGTTAAGCATTTTTCAGGTTGCCTTTCGTTATGATCAGAGAATGGAACTGTTCTTCATTGATGTCATAGGGGGTGCATGGTAGACCGTACTCAAGTTTACCCAGTTGATGCAGTTCACGGCAGTTGTTCACGTAAAGCACTCAGACATTCCATGATGGCACGGATTTTCGTCTGGAAACGACTGTTAAGATTAGAAAGACTGCAGTATATCTCGATTTGCGCGTAGATCCCCAGACCTGTTGTGTCTTCTCAATTTAGATTCATCCGTGTAACCAAAAGATTCCCAAAGATGCTTGCTTTAATGCTCCGCTTAACCTCAATCTCTTATATTGGATTAATGTCTCACATTTCTCAACAATTTCTGGTTACACTATAGATTGATAGTGTCCATGTCGTTAGTGTTCATGCTCCAGCAGAAAACAGCAAATACTTTTAGGACTTTATTTCGAGGTTACACTTGCTGGGTATGATGGCGGACGAAGAGAAGTGAAGGAGGAAGTCAAACCATTACCCCTTAAATCTTCTGTCTTCGAAGAAGGTGTCGTCTTCCATCCTTACTTCCTTAGTTTTAAAAGTAACTTACGTTGGTGAAAAGGCTGATGGATGATGGACATTATCAAAAGCATTTTGATATGTCTAGATCTGTAATAATAGTGGTTTGACACGATCGCTGCTGAATGGAGACCGCTGACAATCTGTGTAGTTATCAAGTTTAAAGCTTTCGTGCTGCTATGCAATGAAGGAATTGTAATAGTAGTGATTCTAATACCTTTGCTATTGGTGATGATAATCGTTAACTCCAGCTGGCGAATCGAGAGTTCGAGAAGATTAGTGGGATATTCAATTACTTAAGTTTCTTTTATATTAGTATGGAGGTGCCATCAGGACCAAGAGGTTTAGAAGGTTTTGATTTGTATATAATGCTTTCGGTTTCAGCAGAAGTTAAAGTTTAGGCCACAGAGTCTCATTTTAGATTTCGGATTAAAGATAGACACTGACTAACATCATTATTTGAAGTGCTTATCCTAACACTGTATTTAGACAAAAACGGGGTCTTCAAATTAATAAATATAACAAGAAAACTCTCTTTCCTATAAAATATAATAATAAATTTATTAATTTCAAGTTCAATACTAAACTCCGTCTCTCTTAAATTGTAGAAAGAGAAAATTTCTCTTAATTATAAAAGCAAAATTTCCCTTTTACAAATATTATGTTAAGCAAAACCTTAGACACTTAAATTAACAATGAGATACAAATGAAAACAATAAGTTTCTAGTTGAACCTCGGACAAGACGGTTTTGTATTCAACGGAAAATCGTGCACGGAAAGTTTTGTATACTAAAGGAATTATTTTGTGTTTTATTTTTCTACAACATCTTTTTGTATCCTTTCAAACAACAAACACGAAATGAAAAGGATAGCAATATTTGATTGAAAAACATACACTTTTAAACTTGTGAACGACGTCATAACCTAGAGACATTATTTTTGTTGCTATTACTTCCTTGTTGTTGTTGCTCTGGTTCAATATCAATGTAAAAGAAAAAGTGGAGTTTGAGAGCGAGTTGTGGGTCCATGTATGAGGGAGTGAAATTTTCGTATTGTCAATGATATAAAGTGAAAGTGTTTTTCTGTGTATATTTGTGGATGATGATTGTCTAAGGTGTTGCTATATAATTTCAAATTCTGTATTTGATTAAATTGTTACACATAAAAGTGAAAAAAAAAAAATAAAAAAAAACTTTAAGAAAAAAAGTACAAAAGTTTTTCTCAATTCACGTGACCCTATTTTTTCTATTATCATTAGTATTGATGGCTACTTCTACTACATGAAATACACAAATTACTAAATCAATATTTACACCTTCTCTGGTGGTGGTCTTGGTCAATAACTGTGAAAAGAACGCAAAGAAAATATTTATTTTTATTTGATATAATGGATTTTACAAAATTTATGAATAAATTTAATGAAATCGAGCGACAATTGTCGCCAACTTCTGCTTTACGCTTAAGTTTCGACAATATTTCACCGGAAACGGAAGAACCCGAAAATAAACGCCTTTGGGGTGTACCAGTACCACCGTTTGTCTCCGATAAAGTTGTTTCCTGGATTGAAGAGGAATTTACAGATCCACCTATATTTTTTAATGATTTTTTAGTATTGAAGAAAGTGAGTATGAAAGAAAAATATATATCTGAAAAAAACCTATTGCAAAAACTTACGGATTTTAAGAAAAATTGATTATTCAGATAGTTTTATATGTAGGATATATCCTTTAGTTCAAAATATATTAAGTTTTACGATCTAGTGCCTTTCAATTTTGGCTAAATTTTTAACTGAAATCGGAAATATTAACATTTCTAGACCCTGAAGTGTTCTTATCTTTAGGCGAATTGATACAGACAGTAATAGGGCACGTCATCAAAGTATATTTACTCATTTTGGAAGGCTATACAAAAATAACGGAGGTGCAGGGAACGCTTGTCAGAGACAGAATATGTATGCAACTTTGAGTCACTGATACCATGTAGAACATTATAGTCGATCAGCTTAGAATAAATACCCGTAGGAATACGTTGCTCCATGGATGCCTCTAATATTGTAGACAAAACGTACCTGGCATCTACATTGAAAACAGAGAAAACGGAGTATACTCCTTGCAATAACAGAATGTGTCAACTGGAGTGGAATAAATATGACACCAAAAGAGGTTAACATATTAATCTAAAGCCAGAAGGCAATTAGGGCGATATCAGCTCATAAGCAGAAATCTAGGCCAGTATTGGACTGTTAGCTAATAACCCGTAAACCTAACGAAAAGCTTCCTCAGAATGAGCAAGTTCAAGGCTACAATGATACAAGTCTATTGTCTGGACTATAGAAAAGTCTATAGTCTGGACTATAGAAAAGTCTATAGTCTGGACTATAGAAAAGTCTATAGTCTGGACTATAGAAAAGTCTATAGTCTGGACTATAGAAAAGTCTATAGTCTGGACTATAGAAAAGTCTATAGTCTGGACTATAGAAAAGTCTATAGTCTGGACTATAGAAAAGTCTATAGTCTGGACTATAGAAAAGTCTATAGTCTGGACTATAGAAAAGTCTATAGTCTGGACTATAGAAAAGTCTATAGTCTGGACTATAGAAAAGTCTATAGTCTGGACTATAGAAAAGTCTATAGTCTGGACTATAGAAAAGTCTATAGTCTGGACTATAGAAAAGTCTATAGTCTGGACTATAGAAAAGTCTATAGTTTGAACTATAGTCTGGACTATAGAATAGTCTATAGTCTTGACCATTGAATAGTCTATATTCTTTACTATAGAATAGTCTATAGTCTTGACTATAGAATAATCTAAGGTCTTGACTATAGAATAATCTAACGTCTTGACTGTAGTATTGACTATAGAATAATAAAAAGTTTTGGCTATAGCATAGTCATAACTATAAACATTTCTATAGTCAAGACTATAGTTAGTCTATAATCTTGATTATAGACCAGTCTATATTATTAAAATGTGTTAAATTTATACAGTTTCTTATCATCATTAATTAGGAAAATTCACCATAAATGTCATTTACACTAAACGAGATATTAAGGGTCATAGGTTACAAAACTCTTACAATAATTCTATTTATTTATTTTATTTTGCTGGCGAAAAATCATTATCAGCAGTTTTTCTCTTAAACAAAATCAATTAATTAATTGCCAATTAAAAGTATAATAATTCATTAAACATTTCTGTTATTTTTCAGGTTGAAAATGTTCGCATGATTGATCGTTATAATACGAAAAATCCAATTGTTGGTACATTATATTTAACAGCAACACATTTAATATTTGTTGAACCGGACAGCAATAAAGAGACATGGGTAAGTCAAAACTTACAATAAATATTAACAAATTGCGTTACAGTTGTTCTTGCATTTTTATTTTTACACAATTTCACAAACTTAATATTAAATCGATATAATTTTTCTTTTACCACAATAGTGACACATAAGGAGATTTCAAACAATTGTATACAATAGAGTTCATTTACCTCTATTAAATATAAATTTTTTGCAATTGTTACAAAATATAGTGTTTTAGCCTAGAATGTGTTTGTGTCATTGTGTGTTTTATGCAAATGTATTTAGTTTTTTGAAAACTTAAATTGTTGCCTTTAAACAGGCGGCCCAAAAAAGCTATGTCATTCTATGATTGTGAATCGTGGAGAATAGAGTGAGCAGAAAATAAATTAAAATCGCCAATCATCATTTCACTTGAAATATATTCCCTTTTCACTTTTTTCGTTCACTAACTTTTTTGTCGTGAAAAAAAAATCCCCTGTTGTGAAATTTGTTGATTGAATTTTGTAAACATTGAACAGCTGTTGCATATAAAATCAACTATTGTGAATGATTTGTTCACAACAAGTTTACGATAGCAATTTTCCCTTCGAGGGGAATGAAAATTTCAAGGGAACAAAATTTTCACTTCTATTGGCGACATGGGTGAATACTAAACAGTATATATTCATTATCTGTGGGTACTCGAGCTATTTAATCTAGATGATGCAAAAACATCACTTCCGTTTTCAACCTCGCAGATATGATGGCCACTGTTGAATCGGCAAAAGCACCTAGAGACGTTTTGGGTAAACCGAAACATGAATCCATCAAATAAGCCGAGGACTTGCTCTTATTCACAGAGAACACACGGTGGCAAATCTGGTATGAACAGAGTAAACACTAAACATACCTGGACAAGGAAGGAAAATTCCTTTTATCCATCACCATTCAATCCAGCATACTTCTCATTCATTCGACACACTCATAGAGAACATCCGACACAGTTGCTCTAGGTATGTGTTCCATATACCCTATATCCATTCTGTGTCATATACACTTAAGACCAACTCTTTCCAACGCTTATATTTGTTGTCTCTTCAACAGTACTGAACTTATCCCGAATTATATGATTTAAACCACAGCCACCACGTGCACCCCGAAGAGATGTGTAGGGTTAATTATGTTCCAATGTCCTCTATACAATATAATATAACTGATTTAAGTAAAATTTGATTACGATTCCTCCTTATGAAACTTTCTGATGACTATCTTTATTCTATGTAGGCTAAGTGAAATCGTGAACCGATATTGCTCATTTCCAATACCAAACAAACCTTATCTTTGGAGAGGATTTATGCAAAAGTTCTGCCTATTAGCTCTTCCCGTGTGGTCTTTCAACAGACAGACAGACGGTCATGGCAAGATCACCAAAGAATTTAATCAATAAGAATCTATAAGAAGGAACATTTTGGTACTTTTTTATTACATTGAATGTAATTAAAATTTTTGTGGCGCCTACTTTAAATATTTGGCAAAGGACTAGACAATTTTTGGGTGAATTCAATCTTGAGTTTTTTTTGCCAATAAATAAGAGACTTGGTGGGAGTAAATACTTACACATTTTTATTTGTTTTTTTAAGCAACATTTAATTAGAAAATATTTACAAACTCTAGAAGCATTTTCCTAATCTTTAAAATCAATATTTGGAACACCCTATACACATACACATGCATTTTATCTCCACACATAATCAGTAGCCATTTTAAATATATACTAACTGTAAGTAGCAGTTGTTGTTTGTATTAGTTTTAGACGCCACATATAATAACATTTGTCTAAGGATAAATAAATGACTCATAAACTACCGCCATTATATAATTTTAACCTTCAGTTAGTACGTATTCCTAAGAAGTAGTAGATTGTTTATGTTTATATACTCGATGTCTAACGATTTTGTTCTGTCTCTCTCTCTTGTATATATCGTCATCATCATCTACTTGTCGCCACCAACACCGCGTATTTTTATGGCGGGTTCTACATGCAATCTAAATTTTTATAAATGTTTGTAACCAACACGTCCTCTGTGTAAAGTAACTAGGTACATATAAAAGTCATTAAATGGTTTGTTTTATGTATTTTTGTGTTCGGAAGAAAAAACTTCTATTGGGGGCATTGGAACGAGAAATGCGTTTAATACAAAGTTTATGTGACTTTAAAATGTAGTTTAAAATATACACATTTTATAAAATTAAAATAAAAATGGTGATTTCATTATTGATCGATTTTTACTATTCTAAGTTTCGACTATCAGATAGTATCATACCTCTGCAGACTTTAATATTTCAAACTCGTTTATTGAGCGTTTGTTGATAAAAAGTTTTTCCCCGGTGACTGTCTTGTCAGTTTGATATGTTTGTTTGGGTGCTGCAGATCCATGATAACGTGCTTATTCTGAGCTGAAAAAGAAGATAACCCACTGATTGCCTTGAGCGCCACACAGCTTATCATATAAATGATCTTTTGCACCTTTTTGGCGATGCCAATTGGCCGCGTTGGAGCTTCGATTTGGCACCCAGTAGCGGCGGCAAGTGTTGATATGCTCTACGACGGAGGTAGGTATCTTATCCTCCATGGCGGACAATGCGTCAAGTGTACAGCATGTCACTGGCAAAAACAAAGGGTTGACAGATAAGGATTAGGGTTCTATAGTTGAAACGAAAAGTCGAATATTCGACTTTTTGCATTTAGTTAAAAGTCGTCTTTTCGACTTTTTGCATTTTATGAAAAGTCGATTTTTTGGCTTTTCGACTTTTTTCATTTAATTAAAAGTCGACTTTTAGACTAGTATAGTGGTTATATATATAGTATATAGTTTAGTATAGTATAAACAGTCGACTTTTTCCGACTTTTCGATTTTTTTCGAATTTTTGACTATTTTCGACTTTTATCGACTATTTTAGAGTTTTTGACTTTTTTCTACTATTTTCGAGTTTTCGACTTTTTTGTCTTTTTTCGACTTTTTACGACTTTTTGACTTTTTTCGACTTATCGACTTTTTTCGACTTTTATTTACAAAGTTGACTTTTCGACTTTTTTCATAGACGATAGTCGAGTTATCGACTTATTTGGAACAAAATTGTCGACTTCGACTTTTCGACTTTTTTCCACAAAAAGTCGATTGTTCGATTATTCGAAAGTCGATTTATAGAACCCTAATAAGGATGTACTCGGAGCGAGCTCTAAGCCTTGAAACATAGGTGAGTGTTCCGACTCTGAACACCATCATAGCGAATCCCAAAAAGGATGAAATGGAGCAAATGGTGGATGTGCAAATGGAGTGATAGCATTGTTGAAAAAATGGCTTTCTGGAGCACAGAGGAGGAAGTTTAAGAAGATGCTTAAGGAAATCATAGTGACACGCTTAAGGAAAAATCGGATTCTCTCTCAATATCCCAGGCAAATAAGATTAGGTCTCACGAGAGTTGACAACTGAGAATAAACCAAAAACAGAAAAAGAGCTCCTCATATTCTAATATACAGTCGAAGCCAAGTCGGAATCCTGCGAAGGTATGTAAGGTTAACAACGCCAACCCAGATATTCCGAAAACGAAAACCTTGGGTCTCTAAAGAGGCCCCGAAAAACAAAAAAGGATTAGTTAGACGATGGAAAAGGAAAAGAGCCGCCATCTTGCATACGTCAAAGCTGCCAAGAGAAGACACCGGGACGATCGTTCAATATACGATGACGTATCCAACAGGCAAAATTCCAATAAACCAACAGAGAAAGGTAGAAGATCTGAACACGCAATAGCTTCGAAGGGTAAGCACCCAATAGAGCATGGGCGTGATGTTTATAAGGTTGGCATCTCTCCAATATGATGGCTGGGACGGCGCTAAGCTGGGACTGGTAAAGAAGAGGCATCTTCCGGTGCTCTTAAAGTCCACTGTCTACATACAAGAATAAATCAGTAAATTGGCTAATGAGTGTATAATGGAAATTCGTGGAAGCCGAAATGCTGAATAGATATCAACCAGATCTACATGGCTAATCTTGACAAGTACAAATGTAGAGGTTATTTCGCCTCTAAAGTTGTCATCTTCAAAATTGGGAAGGTGCCGATTGGAAGGGCTGTTAAAACAAGCCCGAAAAGGTACTCAAAGCTTCATTAGTTGAGGTAACGTTGAGGAGTCAAATCCTAAAAGTGAGGAGGATTTCACTCACTTGCCAGGAGACAGAACAGCAGTGCTTTCCAAAATTGGGTGCCAATTAAAAAGACAGCTATTCCCAGACCTAATAAGGTGATCGCGGGACTCATAATCTAAAGGGGTTTTCATTGAGAGTAACGTATTTTATTTCTTATAAAAAATTTAAGGTTAATTATGGAAATGGTTCTTATTTCAAATTAAAGTTCATTCCAAGATATTTATGAAATACGACATTTTCCAAATGTACGCATTGAATCATAGCGTCAAGATCTGCTGTGATTTCTATATTTGGTTACTAAAATCGTACCACACTATACCTTCAAATACATTTGTTTCATTTGAAGCGAGGTTTGACCGAAAATCGACCGGTCAACGCTCTGCTCCCTCCTTGAAGTGTATACCATACATCCGACTATAGTTTGTTTTGGGTCTATGCAGAATACCCTTGCTGGACAGATATCCGAAATTGGCTTAATATGTTCTTGGCCTTAAATTAATGTTAATTGCTCCATAATTGTCCTAAGCTCCAAAACTTTTATATGAATGCTCTAACTATGTCTGTCTGTAATATAAAAAATATTTTTTTGAATGCGACTTCTCTCCTTTTTTCGACCTATTACGGATCGGAAGACGATTTTTATAAATCGAAATCTAAGAAATTTCACAATCAAACGAAAGTTGTTGTACCGATTCTTCTTCCTCACGTAAACGACTTTTGCAACAACTATTACGTGTGTTGTACCAATAAGATTTCTCTAATAAGCCTTAACGAATATCTATCAAAGGGCAAGAAAGTCAAGGTCCTTTCCACGAAAAACTGGGCCACAGTATT